CAGAGGCAGGAGAAAGGCTCGGAACTTTCCGTAAGAACAAGGGTCGTTTTGCACCAGGGAAAGCCCACTTCCCCCTCGCTGCCCTCCCCAGCATCGAACCCCAGAACGGGTGGCATTCGCTCTGTCCCCGCGAGCCGGCATCCAAGCTGCGAGGAGAAATGGTTACCCGAGAAGTTTGCAGCGGAAGCCGGCCAGCCGCACGTAGGCATCATGCAGGTCCCTGACGGTCGCATTACTCCACAGTCTCTCGGCTACGGCCCCAGCTCTTGGCCTTGGAGGAACGAGGGACAGAGGCAGTCAGGTCGGGGGAGGGGGGATTTGAAAGCTTCTCACACAAAGCCCTGAGCTCCCCAACACTTTCCCCACCAAAGTCCTTCAGCACACAAAGGCACATGGCTTCTGTATATCAAAAGATCCACTCCTAGACACGTGGATCAGGACGTACCGGGGTGACAGGACAGAGACCAGCACTAAACACACACTGCTTGCAGCAGCAGGCTGTACAGGAGCATGTTACAGTCTCACAAACCCTCATTTAAGCCTCAGTGAAGCTGTTACTAGCACAGAGGCGCTGCCAGGGGACAGGGACAAGCACCACACGCAGACCAAACCCGCAGTATTTGGCACACATCGCTCAGTGGCGAAGGAAACGAGCCTGAGCCCTGCCCCACGCGACTCGAGCTAACCTCCCGACGGCTTCTCTTACCAGAGCCTGGGGGCCAGGTTAGTGGCATCCACATATTCACCCCACATGCACGCCTCTCCGCCGATCACCTGATCCTTCTGCTCAGGGCTGCCTGCCAGAGGACACAGCATTCAGGTGAGGGGGTGTTGTTAGATAACGGGGTGACATCGCCCTGCCCACAGAGGTGCCTGTAACAGCAGTGAGTGGCTCAGCTACGGAGGCAGTAACTTGCCCTTCTGGAAGCCCCCGCTTCAAACCCCGGGCTGGGGGAGAGCAGAGTTGTTTTTTGTCGGCCTCAAGGGAACGGGACATAGCACAGGAACCAAGGACACGGTCACTCAAGCACCTTCGCACCAGCAGCGAGAACAAATTAGGAAGAGACCCAGCCCTGGCGCTACCTCCGAGTGACAAGTCAGCTGTCGTATGGGAAGGGGACACAAGGAACACACCTTCAAACTTCAAGGGCTCCACCTGGTAGGCTGCCATCCAGTCCTGCCCGTAGGAGATGTGGTTGAGGTACCAGGGGGCAGAGAGCAGAGCCCGGTAGCCAGCCTTGGTGACGTTTGCCATCTCCTGCATGTACGGCGGGGAGTTCTTCCACACGTGGATGATGGTGTCTGGCCTCACCTGAAGAACACATGTGAACCCCGTGCATGGGATGACTGTGGCAACGAGAGCACCACCTCCCCTCGCAAGCAGAGTGCCCTGACACATCCACAGCTCCAAACACCCCCAAAGGGAAACCGAGGCAGACATTGGCTTGACTTTTGAGCCACTTCCCATCTGGTTTGCAGAAGCAACAGAGTGGATAAGCCCATTTGCAGAGTGTCCTGGGCAGGGTTAAAACCTGCCTCTTGCAGGCATATATACAAAATCCTGGAGGGAAGAGCCTGTTAACAGCAGTCTGACAAAGCCACCATGAGAGCAGCTCCCTGGCAGCACCATCTAAAGATCAATCCCAGTCCCATAACAGAGTACCCCCCACCAGCCCCAGCATGGCACCCCCAGAGCACATCAGCTGGGGTGCCGGCACTTTTCACCTCAGCACAGGGAACTGCATTAGGGAAAGCAGGCAGCTCTCACCTTCACTCCATTGTCAAATACCTCCTGCCACACGATATAACCTTTGCTGAGGGAAGAGGTGATGTCCAGAAGCCTGGAGTGGAAAGAGTACTGAGTTTTGGGTCAGACCAACACCTGCAGTGGGACATGAAGGTACTTCTAAAGGAGAAGGGAGAAAGCACAGCCCCTCACGGGGCTCCTTTGTCCCTCAGCCCCAGGTTTTTTGTGGTCAATCTCCCAATAAAACGTGGCTAGGCTACTCCCTTTGGGGTCAGGGAGACATGCCTGAATGGGTGTTCTCCTGAAAAGGAGATTTGGTGTCCCTGAGACAGCAGAAGACATTTCTGCTGGTCACATACTGCAGCTGCAGGCCCAGAACACAGCCATCCGTACCTCTGGATGTAGAATGACTCTAGTTTTTTGTAATCTTCACCAAAGCCCATCTCCTTCATGAAGGCACGAATTTTTGGATTGGATTTCCTATATACCAAAGAGAAGATAATGAAAGCACTGCATCCCAAGCTCTGGAGTAAGGCCAAGACATACCCAAGTCCTTCCCACATCAGTCCAAGGCTAACCCAGGCATTCCAAGAGCTGTGACTGAGCCGGCATCAGCAACTTCCCACAGCCAGCATCACCATGAGCACAGAAACTACAGGAACCACCACACACAGCCTCTCTCTCTGTCTAGGGGAGCAGGACACCAAAGATCTGCAGACAATCATGACCAAAAAGCGATGCGCTTCCAGTCCCAGATACTTGCCCCCAGTCCCCATGCAGACTGATCTCAGACTCACCAGCACGTGAAGTCCACCTCGTCGCCACCGAGGTGAAGAAAGAAGTCTGGGAACACAGAGCTGACCTCTTGAAACAAACTGGTCACAAACTGGTAGGTGCTGTTAAGGATGGGGTTGATGGGCCCATAGGTCCCAGAAGGATCCTTGCCCAAATAGCAGGGAGTCAGGAGGCCTGGAGCACCTGGGTCATAACAAACACAGGACAATGAGGAAAGGGCTAAGCGTGGCCACATCACCCCGTATAACCCCCCCAGATCCTCCTGAGCATGGCCCAGGGCCTGCCAGGGGACAGAAGACCTGGGCATGGCGCACAAGGCATAAACACAGCAGCAGAAAAATGATCTCTGGTTCAGGAAGCCTGACCTGATGGGGAGGGATCCGTGTTCTGCACTCATCTTGTGCTCCCCCCCGCCACGCACATCCACTGCTGCCCCAAACACGCACTCCCAGGTGAGATCAGCAGGGCTCGAGCCTTTTAGGCTGGACACCCCTTTTTGCCCCCTGCCAACAGGTACTCTGAGGATGGGACACAGACACACCAAATCCTTGCAGGATGCTACAGTTTCTACCCTTCCCAGGTTTCCCCTTGGTATCTCTCATTGTGGGCACCACTGTTTTTTTCAGGAGATTCCTGCGGGAAACAACACACAGAGCTGCTGGGGAAAGATAATGCCGGTGCAGTCCCCAGCACCCTCTCCCAGCTCCACACACCCGCTGCAGACAGGGAAGGGGGGCAGCCACATTTTTGGCTGCGACCACAAGCACAGGTTGTACTCCAGTGCAGGACATGGCATTTGGAGGCAGGGGAAGGAGAGAGCAAGACAAGGCAACATTTTCCTGCAGCTTCTTGCACTTCCAGACATGGAAGAGGAGGCACTTGCAGTCCTCAGAGCGGGGAGCAGCGTGTCAGGACTGGGGCACAGCTGAGCAGAGTGAGGAAGCTTGGTCAGTTGCACCCCCAATTTAACCCAAGATCCTTGCAATGCCCACGATGCTGGTTTTGGCAGAGCAGATGTTCCCCCAGAAATCACCCAGCTTAGACCCAAGAAGAGATGGAAATGTTTTCCCTTTGGATTTTGTTCTAGAAGTTGGACCATTGGGTCCTAGTTCCCCCAAATGATGGTTTGCTCCTCCTCAAAGCCAGCCCATGGGACATGGCTGCCCACACCCGGCTTTAGGGATCCAGGTTGCAGATGCCCTTCCTCCCCCCAGTACAACTACAACTCTCCTCACAGCAGCGGCAGGCAGGGTCTGCTCCTCACCTGGACCCCAGGAGAGGGTGTGCCCAGGAGTGTCGAACTCTGCGATGACTCTGATGCCACGCAGCCGGGCGTACTCGATCACCGTTTGCACGTCACTGGCTGTGTACACGTGGGTCATGGCATTAAAGGCTCCCTGGGGAAACACGAGAAATCTCAGTGTCTAGCTCAGGTGCCGAGGGAGAGATCTCCTCGACCTGGGCTGGGCGCTACACGGCAATCGGGGTGGATTACCTGCTTGCTGAGCTCTGGGAAGGTCAAGCTCTCATAGGGGAAAGACGGGTCATCCACAATGTGCCAGTGAAACACATTGAACTTGTTGTAAGCCATGACATCCTGGGAAGGAACAGGAACAAAGATGAACATGCCCTGTCTCTTCTGAAAGGTCACCCAGCTTGCCACAGAAAGGGAACAAGGTGCCTGTGCTCCAAAAGGACAAGGCAGAGTCCCTAAACGCTCCCCAGGATCCAAGAGGGATTCAGACACCTCTCTTCAAACATACCAGCACCACAAATTGCTGCAGAGGGCCAGTAGTGCTTCTGCTCACAATGAAATCACTGTTCTCCCTATAACTGAGCCAATGGTGGAGACCTGGAAGTTTAATTCTGCTTGGGATGAACACAGAACCACCACCCACCTTTGTCTAATGTGGCTGGGAAGAAGTCAGTGTTCTCCCTTGCCTCAGAAACAACGCAGCCTCGTAAAGCAATCTGGATTGCAGGAATCCAAGATAGCTCAGGCTTTTCTTCCTTCTCCTACTTATGAAGGGAGCTGAGAAATCACCCAAACAAGGCAGCTGTGAATTACACCGGGAGCAAACACAGCCATGGGCACTGGGAAGGACCTACAGCATGGAAGCATTTTTCCATGATGCACATCTGTATACTAAGAATTGAGGTCATGCTGCCATTCCGCACCAGCCTGTTGCTTCATCTAGCAGGCTGGTTTTCTTCAAAAAACCTAGGTTTGACAAGCTCTTCCTTGACAAGACGTAGATGCAGTGGCCGACGCACTAGACGGCTCCTAGGATCTTTGGAAAGGAGCAAAAACCCAAAAAGCCCTCCAGGCCACTCAAGGAGCCCTCAGTTGTCGCAGAGGAAGGGACACCCAACTAAACCGTCTCCCAGCACAGACACCCTACCAGAGTTTCCAGGATGGCTCTCAGAGGCAGGTAGTGACGAGAGGTGTCCAGCAACAGTCCCCGGTGAGGGAAGCGGGGAAAGTCCACGATTTCTGTCTTGTTGATGTAGTACTGCATGCAGAGAACACGAGGAAGAATTGAGGAGGGCTTTGGGCAACACAGCCATTAGCAGGAGACAATCAGGGTCACCTTTGTCCCCAGGGCCAGTGAGACAAGGAGGGGTAGTCTCGCTGCCCCGCACACAAGCAAGCCAGAAAGAGCTGCAACGCTTTACCAACAACTCAGAAGGCAGGGATCTGTCTGGATTCATGAATCCCTACTTGGCCTTTGGCGAGGCTGCGCTGCCCTGCTGGTACCCCCCTCATCCTGCGCATGCCAGCAATCCTCAGCCTGTCCCCATCAGGGAGTGCTGACTGCCCCCAGGAGATGAAGGCCAGGGCTCACCATGCCGTTCTCATCTCTCCCAACGAGCTGGCTGAACGTTTCCAGGCCTGCAGGAAAACCACACACAGTCCCTTTCTCAGCACAGATTCCCCCAAAGGAACAGAGCTCAATTAACAAATAAGTCTACGGAAAGAGAGAGGCACAGAGAGACATCCCCATAGGCCTGGGGCAGGGAGAGCGGGAATGCCCGACAGAACACACATCTCACCTCTGAGAGCTCCCCAGACAGCATCCGCAGAGAGCAGCAAGGAGCCTTCCGAGACGGACAGCTTATCTGAAACACAGCATCAGAGCATTAGCATTAGGTCCCACACTCCATCACACACTGCTATGGGCCATGACAGCCCCAACTACGGGGCTGCAGCAGCACCAGGCAGAGGTTTTGATACAGGACTGCACTCTGGCATCCCAGAGAAGCGACTTTTGGCTTTTTTTGTTTTAAACCTCTCCCACCGCTTTATCAGCATCCTCAGGTAAGTCGCTCCCTCCCTGCCCCAGTTTCTCAATAATACAGTGAGGATGCTGCCTCCCTAAAACTGGGGGTAAGTGCTGCACAGTGCTATTTCCAACTAACGGGCACAGAAACAGCCGCACCCCCGCTCCAGTCACTCCCTCCCACTCCCAACCCCGATACTCACAGCCTTCCTTGGAGTCCAGGCTGGGAAACCCATCGCAGCCCGGCGTGGCAACAAAGACGAGGAGCTGAGTGCAGGGCGTCCCCCAGGGTTGCTCGTTTTCTGCGAAGGACACAGACCACGGACATCAGTCCCATCCTGGCTCTTTTCCCTGCTTCTAGTCCACTGCCGTCCTCCCAACCCAGCTAGTGACAGAGGCACAGAAGTACGTGGACTTCTAACACAGGTGGCAGAAACAGACACCCTGTCCTTCACCCCAGAGCAGGCACAG